TCAAGAAGCAAGTAATATAACGGGATAAAACTTTGCCCGAATAAAACTTTGAAGGAATAAAATTTGTTGAAATGAAACCACAACCGAATATGTGGACCCTACAGCCTATAGTTGACCTTTTATAGAAAATATTGGTCAATGTGTGAGATATAGTCCTTTCCTGATGATAGTATGTCTGTGTCAAAATTGGATTGAATCGGTTCAATACTTTCCTTAACCCCATACACCTAATACAAAATGTCCACTTCGCCGAAGATAAAGTTCACAGGTCCTTCTTATAACAACTATACAATATTCAGGCATGCAATTATAAGTATGTATAATAAAATCTTAAAATGTAACCGATCCGGCTTATTAATTCTTTCTAGCCACATTGATGCAAGAAACACCCTTCAAGTTGAATTCAGGCTACTTAAGAAACTTATAAACTTAAGAAACAAAAGAACAGCTCCTTGAAGATAAAAGGAAGTTTCAAAATCGTTGACTAAATCAATTCAGCTCGTTACGCTGATTATTTACAAAAAAAATAAATAAATATAAATCGAATGTGCCCTTCTTTTCCATCGTGGCTAACTTAATATATGTATACTATTCATTCGATAAAATTCGTTCCCATTTACTATACTTCTAGATTCTTTAAAGATCGAATTCAGAGCTTATAGATTTAGCAATGTGATGCAATTTTTCGATTGGAACTTCTTCCTGTCAATAATTAATTGGATCTTTCCAAGTGATATGCCATCAAAAATTATGTGAACGTCATGGTTAAATATTGAATTCTGTGGCGAATTACGAAGATCCGAGAAAGGAGTTATTAAACTTTTTGCTTTGACTTCATTATCGCTGCTTAGCGAGTTTGGCTGAACGAATTAGGAGTGCACCATACCTCGATTATCGAAGAAAACTGTCAACATAGCCTTGATTTTTGGCCAGCTTTGAAGTGTTTTTCAGCGTCGGCACACTTTTGCCACCATATTCGGTCGATTGATTGTCTGTTTTCGAGTCGCAAGCGTTTTCAAAAAAAAAAAAAATTACTGAGTTTGGAACCAACTTTCAGCTTTCACTTTTTATAGGCTCAAATGATCTTTCGAATTAGTTTCCACTGATTCTTCCGATATCCAACGATGCCGGTAAGATCTTAGCTTACAATCGACTAAGAAATTCAAGTTCATGTTTTTCTCTATAGAAATAATTAGTTACTGTCTCTCTTCAGCAAGTTGAAGACGCAATGACATCACATATAGTATTCAGTAACGCTCTTGGCAAAATCTATCATGATTTCTTTTCCTGCCACACGTCAGCGGTGTGAAGCTGTGTTGTTTAGGCAGCAAAAAGGATACATATTACATAAATATATTAAGAAATACTTAGAGTGCAATTTTTCAATCTAGTATGCTTTCCATGCCTCATATCCACCTCTTTTTTACAACTTGCAAATAATAAATAATTGACTTTGTCCAAGGTAATGACATGGACTTAATAACACCGCATTTTTCATGTATCTTATGCAAACACACCCTTCGTTAAACACCACTACAGTCAAAAACACTTGTGGCTCTCTCTACCACTCGCTTGTCAATTCAATTTACTTCCTCGCATTAAAGGCCATTAAATATGCAATGATAACCTGATGTTTACGCGTTGCATAAATTAAGCGTGTTTTATTTATTTTTTCTTGCGTTTTCTTTTCATCTATACTGCCATATCGCTTGTTGCTACCAGCGTTTTACTTTTTTCGATGTTGCAATAATTACTTTCATCTCCTGCCTTTGTCCCTCACGGTGCGTAGTTGGTTTAATTGAGTTGATGTTTCAGCCAGCCCTTTTACAAACACACACATACACACGTATTCGTAATAACTGTGTTATTAATTTATATACGGTACGTCGATATCTCCCTCGTGGGCGGCAATGGTGGCTTAACAAGGTTAACCTCATGGCAACAAGGTGCATTTGAGCGACACAAAGGACTTTTTACAATGTGTTCGATTGTTGGTTTACATAAGCACACACATTTGTATATATATATAGATATACGTATATAAATATATGTATATATATATTTACATAATATACATATATGTGATAGTATGTGGTATATCAAGCTACGCTTGTATGCACGTGAAGATAACCGTTAATTGATAATGCATTAGTCAAGGCTTTTTAACGGTTCCGTTGCGGTTACTTTGTGTCTCACTTACGAAGAATTAATAGACTTTTGCTAGTTTCCTTTCAATGTTAGATCAATAAGCTTTTATAAAATCTATAATTTAAATTTCAGTGGGAGCAAGTTGATAGTATGTAACAAATTTACTCAAATAAGTAGTAATAAACTTAGTAAAGCATATATTTTTGGGCGTATCGGCGGATTTAAGGGTATGTGTCTATTATGATGACGAGGCGAGTTAAAATCGGGACATCTGTCTTTCCGTCCATTCGGTCGGGCAAACAGTAAGTTGAATAAAAAGTGATTTCAATTTAGTATGCGAATTTCTTAGAAAAAATATGTACGATTTCGTAGATGGGCGTAAATGGACCACTGCCACGCCTACAAAACGCCATTAACCGAAAACCTATAAGCAATAAAATAAGATATATGTAGAACTGTAATTGGCACAGGGGATCACAGTAGCATAGGGAACCTGTGGGCAAACTCTTTTGGAAAAGTGGGCGTGGTCTTAACTACAAAAGCTACAACAACCAAATTCGCTTACAGTGAACTCTAAAAGAACTGTGACATGGATTAAATCCAATGATAAGCCCGTTCACTCCCCATATACTCGTGACGGTTCTGTTCAAAAATACTAAATGTGCTATTTGTGTTTTTTATAGTAACTTAAAATATTCCTCTGGACCAAAAAGTCGAAATAAATCGCGAACATTTTCGTGCGATTATATTTTACATCGTGGGTTAAGTCATCAAGAGTACATTGAAAAATTTAATTACCGACGATAAAGCTCCGAGGACTAATGGTTATGGATGGTATGGTGAATTCAAACGAGATCGGTGAAGACGAATTTCGGGAAGGTCGTCCAAAGGTAGTTGTTGTTCCGGAAACGAGTGATGTTATCTGCAAACTGATATTACAAGACCGTTATGTGACCTATTGTGTGATTGAGACAATTATGGGAATTAGTGGGGCCAGTATTTGTAAAAAACATTTAATCGTGTATCCCTTAAACGCCGGGCAATTAAGAAGGAAGTGTTGAGATCTTTCCACATCGTTCTGATCTGTCTTCAATGCAGCTTCTGCAGATGGCATCCGGTAATATTCTCAACCTTACTACGTGGACGCTGATGGCCTGCTGGAACACCTCTTTCGATGGGTCTTTGGCCAAAAGGATTTTACGGCGGAGAACCGACGGTAGTCAAGCGCTGGCCAAGCTTTTTTACGAAGATCTTTATCTTGATTTTGTACGATTTTGTCAATGTATACAAGTATAACATATACAAATTTCTTAAAGTATCATGTAAAATGAAAAATTTCAATACAAGCACTTAATTTGATTTTCATATTCATTAGTAGTGTAAAAATTTCAAAAACTGAGGGACATTTTCTTCTTTTCTGGTGTAGACACCGAATATAAGGTATTAGCCGAGTTAACAACATCGGGTCAGTCGTTCTTCCTTTTCATTATTTGGCGCGAAATGGGGATTCCAAGTTCAGACAGGTCTTTCTCCACCTGATTTCTAAAACAGAGTGCTGTTTATGCCAATGTCGTCGTATATTTCGTAAATCTCATCGTTGCCTATCCGTAAAGAACCATTCATAAATCTTCCGCAGAACCTTTCTCACCAAAACTCGTAACGCCGAATTATCAGAGGTTGTCATCGTCCATACCTCTGCAGGAAATAGCATTACGAAAATGATGAAGGACTTGTACAGTTTGTATCTTTGTTCGTCGGGTGAGAACTTTACTTGCCTACTCAGTCCGAAGTAGCACCTGTTGCAAGAGATATTCTGCGCTGGATTTCGAGGCTGACATTGGTTGGTGTACTATTAATGCCGGTTGCAAGATAGACGAAATTATCTACGATTTCGAAGTTATGACTGTAAACGCTGACGTGGGAGCCAATTCGCGAATATGACGACTGTTTGTTTGATGATATTGGAGATATTTCTTCTTGCCATCGTTCACAACCAGGTCCATTAGCTTCGCATCCTTATCCACTCCGGAGAAAGTAGAACAAATAGCGCGGTTGTTATGACTAATGATATGAATGTCATCGGTGTACGCCAGTAGCTGTATACTCTTATAAAGATTGTACCTTCCCTATACATATTTGCAGCGCTAATTATTTTCTCCAAATCTTGATCTTTTTGCCCTTTAAAGCAGAAATTAACTTTAAAGTTTATTACATTCGTAATAGAGTGTTTCCCTGCAAGAAGCTGCTAACTAATCAAATGTTTGGGTAATAGGGAAATTCTAAATTAATATATAATACACGCAGAAAAACATTCCCAGTCCAGTATACGATTCTCTTATATATAATTATTTAAATGTAAAGAATTTTTTAATATAATACTTTTTTTAATATTCTTTATCAGACGATTTTCATATGAACTACACTTCCGACATGAAAATGTCTGCGGCAAAATGTACTTAAAAATTAAAAAAAAAAAAAAAAAAAAAATACGCTGTAGGGTGGTATAGTTATGTTAAATCAAGGTAGAAAAAGTAAACAAATGTCTTGATGACGGATGATGTAAAAATGAGCAAAAGAAATTTGTGATTTTCCTGCAGGGGTGACATACGCTGCCATAAATTTCATAAATATTTCATTTGCATATGCTGCCGCATATTTATATGCATATGTATGTATATATACTATATGTATTTGAAAAACTAAAGTAAGTGATTGTGTGCAAAAATATGTATGTCTGTATGTACGCATAGCCACGAATATTTCAAATACCAAACACACGTATTAGATACCCGCGCACTGAAGCACACAAATACACACACACACACATGCATACAAGTTGGTTTTCAACCTACCATTTTGTGGTCCAGCATAGGCAATTATCAGCGCGGTGAGCAGCAGTGAGCCCAAAACGATGCCAGCAACCAGTAGCGCGCGCCTCTGTGAGCAAACAGCGACTCCCTGACGCGTCTGTCGACCACTCGATTCGCCACCTGTAAATTTAATTAAAAACTTTATTCGTTTTTATGCCCATTCTGTTTCTGTTTGTCTTTCTGTTTTTGTTTTTGTTTTTAAATCTTTTATTATATTCTTCATTGTGTAAAAGCACGAGTCAAGTGAGTTAAGTGTAGACGGTTAAACAAACCGAAGAGGCATGACGCGGCAAGCACTGATAAACGCATCCAAACCTACCAACAACAACAACAACTCAACAGTAAAAAAAACAGACAGTTACGACGTAAAAGTTTATTTCGATTATTCGTCGGTAGTAGTTTTGATAAAGTGTTGCGATTATTTTTACTTTAGTTATTTTGGTTAGTACTTTGATGATTTGTTTTTGGTTTTCATTGAATTGTTGTTGGCGGGGCTATCTACAAGTACTCATCGTAAATAAGGTATGGTTATATAGATAAATATACTTTGACAAGAAGAGTGCTTTTACTTGGCAACTTGTTTTATAATTTAAAGCCTTGGTTTTTCTACCTTCGCAACACCCAATAGCTTTATACACCCAACAAGTGTTTGTAATACTTAAGACTAATCGAGATAGATATAGTGTTATAAAGGGTTTTATCATAGGGACGCTACAAAACTAAACAGATGGAACAGCAAATGAGGCCATATTTTCTCCAGCTCTTTTTGACATTTCTCTTCAGTAAGATTTGCCATTTCATCATGAAAGATATACGATTCAACAACGAGTCGAAATTGTTAAAATTTACTTCCGAAATTCGGACTCGATGGAATTAACTTTAGAGCGCTGCATCCAATTTACGGTCGTCAAAATCATCCTTTGAGCGTCTAACGGAAAAATTTGAATCCACAGGCACAGTACAAAATGTTCCCGTGCCAGTGAGACAAATAAGTGCCCGTAGTCTCGTGAATATTGCTGATCCGGATTTTCATCGAAAAATCATCTTCAGCAATGAGGCTCATTTCTGGCTGAATAGCTTCGTCAATAAGCCAAATATGCGTTATTGGTCAGGTAGCAATCCACACGCGTACTCATTGCATCCCGAAAAAATTACGTTTTGCTGCGGTTTATGGGCCTCGTGATGATCAAGACCGGCACCTTACTGTGAATGGAAATTGCTACCGGTCAATGATAACTGAATATTTTTGACCCGAATCGGATGGTATAGACTTGGACAATACGGGGTTCAAACAGTACGGCGCCATAATTCACACAGCGAATGTCACAATCGATTTATTGAAAACCAAGTTTGGTGAACGAATTATCTCACGAAATGGTGCAAGCAATTGGCCGCATCGATAGTGCGATTTGACGACGTTAGACTATTTCCTGTGGGGCTACGGCAAGTCTATGACCTATGAAAATAAGTTAGCGGCGATGATGAACTTCGTGTGAATATCGAACACGAAATTGCAGCAGTCTCGGTTGATGTATACCTGAAAAACGTCGAAAATTGGAAAACTGGAAATGCAAAAGAAATCGAGATCCATATGTTACGGCATCGAATGTACTTTCACTGGAAGAAGAGTTTCATTGATATACAAACCGTTTTTGTTTTACGTAAAAAAAAAAACTTTTAGCGCTCTTATTGAAAAATCCGTTGTATACATACTCGTATATAAATGATCGTATGACAAGACTTGTCCGCTAAAACTTATCACATCTGTTCCTCGGCACCATAGAAGGTCGGTACTGCAGTTGATCAGAATTTGATCATTGCCACGATCCCTGTATCTAAGCTTCACATTAAGATACGCAACCAATGCTTGGTACAATTATTTACATTAGAGTGGGGCATCCGAAGTTTGTACATTTAAAAAAACTAGGCGTGTACCGCCCACACAAACTGCTAGAGTAATACCAACGAAACATTATCCTGAGACTTCTATATTACAATTTGAAATCGGACTACAAACACGTCTAATTGCTATATAGTATAACGGAGTTTTATATTTCACTTTACTTGTCCACTGTAAGCACCAATGGATAACGGAAAGGGATAAAACTTAGCAAACATAGTACCTTTACGGCATGTCGTCCCAAGGTAATTTGTTTCGTACGGGAATAACAAGAAGTATTTAGGTGTCAAGTCAGGACTTTGCGGTGGATAACTCATCAAATCAACGTTTTGATTGCAGTTGTTTCAGTCGATGTGCGAGTTTTCCTGATTTTTTGAAAGACAACTCACAATTTACTGTTATGCTTTGTTCTAGTGATGTAGTTGCGACATCTCTAGTTTTTTTTTCAAAAAAGAGGACACCATCGGCTCAATTTCATTAGAGTTTACATAACGATCTTTCAATATCAATGCGCAATCAATAGTCAACTGATTTTAGAAGTTTTTCACGAAATTCGTCTTGCAGTGATGTACGAGCTCGATTGTATTCACCATGCCATCGATAATCACAGATTTTTGATGGAGCTTTATAGCCTTTAATAGAATTAAGTTCATCGATGCATTATTGCTGAGTTCGTTCGGAAATGTTTGCTTTTGAATTCCCTTGTTTTGGCCGTGAATATTTTAACGTAGTGTAAACAACACAAATACCGCTCGTATGTTAAAACATCCTGAGTATGTATAACATAAAAAATTGCGAACTTTACGATAAAGTTATAAGTTATCAGATAGCAACACTAGGGTTAGCAATTCCCGAAATATAAAAGGCAACCTAGGTATTACACTGGTTATGAATATTTTCTAAATTTTAGTTGACTTTATAAGTTTATATCGGTCAATAAGTGAGTTACGTTAATGAAATTCAGAGAGTATTCCCATTGACAGACTATCCTTATACCTAAAATGATTAAAATTAAGTGCATACTTTTTTCAGCTTCCATAAACTTAATATAATTCAAACTTCCGATTAATTTACACCATAACACCATACATTCATATCGGTCAAGACTTGAGGTATCTTCATGAAATTCATGAAATATCTTCTTCAGGGGACATTTCCATGAATAAAATCGGGTCAATACTTATCTATATATAATGGATTTATTGAGAGAACATTTCGATGGCCATATAATTTCACAATGTAGACCGGTCGATTGGCCGCTAAGATCGTGTGATATCACAACGTTATAATTTTTTCTGCGTAAAGTCTGAAATCTTTCGGACAATCTCGCTCCGATTCACACCTTGGAATCAAATATCACACGTGTGATTCGCCAGTTAACAATCGAAATGCTCCAACGAGTCCTCGAAAACTAGACTCAACGCATGGGCCATCTGAGACTTAGCCGTGTTTAACAATTGACAGAGAAAATGTTTTTCCGAATGATATATTTCTCATTAAATTTGAAGTTTCTGTGTTTTATCTTTAATAATGTAGGGGACCTCGAAATGTATCACACTTTAGTATTACAACCTTAAAGTTGATTTTGATAGTTATGAGGTTTTACTAAAAGCCCTTATATATGTATTACTTCAAAATAATCGATTTATCGATAAAAGCTCGAATCGAAAAAATCGAAAGGCATTTATCTCTGATAAGTATAATATAAAAAATGAGAAACTATCGAAATCATTCTTAATTCAATACACTTGACAAATATGCTACACAGATCTTTCTTCAACGTAATAATCGATAATATTGTTTCATCCCTGTGTTAAATTTGCTCATTAATTATATGTATATTTGTATACCTGATAGAAAGGCACAGTCGTCTAAATCCGGATCATTTGTCATTTCGATGCGTTCGCGTCGCCAAACTTTCGAACCTCTCTGACCGCCGCCAACGAACGATATCTTAACGGGGCCCGCTGACCTTTGTCTTCCTGCCAATACGTACGAATTTTTGCGTTTTACTTAAGACACGTAGAACGAAAGAGAAAACGACGTGGACGCGTATTCGTTCGTTCGACGTTCAATACGGAAATCACTCACATGCGCGAACACTTTTTCACTTAAGCCTTATAACAGAATATTTTCAAGTATAATAATTTAATTCACTTAATTTTTTGAGTGATGAATTTTTTTTTATATTTTTTTTATTTTGTAGTGATTTGGATGGCAGTTTTTACATATATTTAGTTTAATGCATTTATCCTAAAGTTAAACTAATTATACCGTTCGTTGGTAGACGTGAAAAATAAGCAAATATTAACCGTTAGAAACAAAGTTTGCAAAAGCAAATTCACTGATTTTGAATACACTATTTTTTCGTGTGCAAATTCACTTTGAAGTGCTGCCCAGTTAGTCGTGTCTGGCGGCAAAAGGTAAATAAGCTCAAGTCAACAAAACACTTCACGGCATAGAAATCTCGGTAATCATTATGAACGCCGGCTGCATCCCACTTAATCCAGCTCATGTTTTATTCAACTAAAGGTACACACATTGCCGAATACTGATTTTCGTGGGCATCCTTTCTGCATGTCCTTGGCAACAAGCACACCTGCAGCGACCAAAAAAAAAATATATATATATATAAAAAAATATAAAAATAAAAATAAAATAAAAATGGAAATTCCGAAAAGGTTGAATTTCAAATTCAACACAGGCATGTCATCGCCACCAGCAGCGTAGAAAACGTAAAGGTGTGCTTTTATTTTGGGGTAGTTTATTGCCTACGGCCTTCCGCTTAATGCGTTCGAAAATTTCGCCGTCTCCTTGTTCCGTTGCGTCGACAATCGCGCAATCTTTGTCGTCTCTTGTAAATGGAATAAATGTAATAAATGCAAAATGCGAAGAGTCAGCAACACAAAGGACACGCTGTGTAGGCGGCCGGTTCAAAAGAGCAGGCAGACAATTTCAAGAAGACTACGGCCAGACGGGCAGACAGCCGAAAATACACACACAAACACATGTACGAAAACTTTTGGCGCAAATGCAGTTACTACTTGAAACACTCAGCGCAGAATCCACCACCATCTCCACCTAGCTCCGCTGCCACCCACTTTTATGCATAGTAGACCATAACTTCCATCCCCATCACCTTAATCGTCCTTATCAATGTACTTTTGCCGGTTTCGCTACCGCCGTGTGTTTGCTGTTGTTTGTGTTTTTGTAGAGCAGTCTAATAATCATGTAAACGTGTCCAGCCGACAGCATCGCTGAGGTATACTCCACAACTTACTCTTATTCATAACTTTTGATATTTTGGGTCTCTTGCTCTTTGGAAATTTTTGGTTTCACATGTTTTCAATGTCGCATTGGCTTAGTGAATAAAAGCTTTAACTTTACATGAATACTTGCCGAACAACTGTACTATGAGATTTAAAAAGTTAATAAACTACAGTCAACCTAACCATTCGAAGTTTTTATTACAGGGTCTGGCACTCGAAGTATAAACAACTTTAGACCGTTCGCGCGGCTGTCGCACTGGAATCAGCTGTTTATAAATTTGCTGAATGACAGTTCGGAGTATTGTTCACAAGTGTGCAAAGGCGTTTTGCCAAAAGTGATCAGCGATGGAATTGAAGCGTACTAGTGTGATTGCTTTATATTTAGCTGGAAAATCGTGAGCTCAAACATTTTAATGTGAATAGAATTTTTGTTTATCGCACCATCTCTCGTTACAATGATACTGGTAGCTTCGCAAAAAGCCATGGAGAAAGACTGCAACGTCACGTGAGATGGTTCGGAAAGTGAAGAAGCGACTTGAGCGAAATCCAAGGCGAAGTGCCAATCAAATGGCTAAAGAACTGAAAATATCCGAACGCAGCATCCGACGCATATTGAAAAATGAGCTCAAGGTCAAGCCTTACAAGTTCCAAAAGATCCATGATCTCAGTTGCTTCGCTTGGTCGAAAGCGTTCAAATTCCGAACATTGTGTTTTCTGACGAAAAAATTTTTCCAATTGAGCAATTCKTAAACTCTCAAAACGATAGGGTTTACTTGACCGACCGTTCATACGAGAATCTAAGTCATTGGTTGACCACCAGGAGGCAGAACCCGCCACAAATAATGGTTTGGGCCGCTGCCACCGCAGATGAGCGCTCTCCAATTGTTTTCATCGAGCCTGTCGTCAAAGTAAATGGGACATATTATTGCGAAAGTGTTTTGATGGCTGATTTGAAGTCGTGGGCAAACAAACATTTCGGTCGCAAACCATGGACGTTTCAACCAAACTCAGCACCGGCTCACAAAGCGCGAGTGAACCAAGAACGGCTGCATAACAACGTTCCGAAATTCATTACGACCACACAATGGCTCTCAAATTCCCTAGATGCGATTCAAATGGATTATTCTCTCTGAGCCATTTTGGAGAGCAAGGTCCGAAGTAAAAAATACACCAGTTTCGAGATACTGAAGAAAGTCATTGTCCGTGAGTGGGCAAAAATGCCGGCAAGTTACATTCGGGCAGCTTGCGATTCGTTATTTGACCGCCTCCAGGCCATAGTCGTATTGAGCAAAAGCGAATATGTTTTCACTTCAAATTCAACTCGTCCTTTTGTAAGAAGCGTACACTATGATAGCGAATAGAGCAATGGCGAGTCAAAGACAGCTTTAAAAAATTTAAATTGACTTTATTTTCCAAAGCTAAATTCTATAAACTTAGAGGGTATATGAAAATATAGCTTGTGTATTCCCGCGTCTTCAATTAAATACTGAAAGACTAAACCTATAACCTTCATATACCTTTCTATCTCATTTAATATTTCCGACAGTAATCACTTTGTGCCATATCCAAGCTATAAGATGGTGTAAGCATTTACTACCCAAGCTACCGGAGCTTTTTGTGATTCTTTTTTAATTTCCCTGATATTGAAGTCTTATATATAAGTACATCAGAAACAAATTTCACTTCTAATACTCACATTTCTAACACTGTTTGACCAATTTGATTTAAGACAAAGCACTCTTAATGCTCGCTTAAAGCAGCTCATAAACCTCATCAGAAAACTTAAGAATCAGTAAAGTTCTGGCGCTGAAACATAGACATCTCTTCTCAGTAATGGGTGTCATCAACCTATATGTTTCTCTGGGCCTTATATTCAGAACAAATATATCCACTGATGAAAATAATCACTATCGTCATATTTTAATAAGAGTATGATAATTTGAAAGGACCATGTCTAAATTATTTATAGATGGAGGAGTTAAAATAAAATCGGCATATTTGGTATGCTTCATAACTTCCTTCAGAAATTGGCAAAATCGCTGCAAAGCTTCCGTTAACCTCATACGAGTGGTTTTTGTTATTATTGTAGTTACAATATTTATGGATAATGGTATGCAGTTGTCATATAGAGGTCATGTCCATTCAAATTTCGCAGAGTTGGCTGTGGTGCCAACTGATTGACTCCGCCGACGATTTATCATATATATTGTCAAAAGTACCCGGGAATTGTAGTCTAAAATCGCCGCGTAAATGATATTTCAAAAAAGTTTTATTTTCCTAAGTTGGTATTACTGTCCTTAATTACTATGCCGACTATGAGCGAGATCTGCCAAACAAGTTCGTTTGCAGCAGCTGTTTAAGTCAGTACACCTCAGTAGTGCTTAGCGATTTTTAAAATGGATAAACATATCGAACAAAGAATTTGTTTTAAATTTTCTATTTCTTACTAAATTTCGTTAGCTACGAATATTGGAAAAGGCTTACGGTATTTCAGTTTTATCAAAAACACAAGGTTAAAAAAGCTTTGGTAAAAAGCTTTGAATGACGGTCCAGCAATCGTTGAAGCCATGCCTCGTTCTGGATGACTTTCGATCTTTTTAACTGATGAAAATATTCAAAAAGTAAAGGATATGGTGTTTGAAACTCATCAGGTAAGTGTTAGAGAGTGGCAAGAGAGCTCGACATCTCTCGTGAGTCCATTCGAATGATTTTGGTGGATATTTTGGGTATGATACGCTCTCTTACTCGACTCATCGCGATAAAGCTGATTTTTTTAAAGAGTACCGCAAACAGATATCTTTAAACATGCTTGATCGTCCGAATTCCGATCACAAATTAATAGAAGGCACTATAACTATTGATGAGACATGGGTTTATGAATTTGACAAGCAAGCAAGTCAACAATTATCGCAATGGAGGGAAATAAATGAGCCGAAACCAAAAAAGTCACCCCAAACCGCTCAAAAATCAAGTTGATGCACATTGGTTTCTTCGATATTTGTAGTTTATTGCATAATGAATTGGTTCTGGAGAGACAGATGGTCAATAAGGAGTTCTATTTGGCCATATTGAGGCGTTTGCGTGAGAATATCCGTCGAAATTGGCTGGAATTGTAGAAAAACAATTCACGGATTTGATTTTTTGTACCCCAAACTGTAATTGTCGCTCCCTGGAAACAGTCGATCGAAGTGATAACACAAAAATAAATTCGGTTAAGGATCTGAAAGCCATTCCAAAAAGTGCTTATGAAAAGTGTTTGCAAAAATCGTTGGTGTATTCTATCTGGTGAGGATTACTTTGAAGGCGACAAATTAAATATTGGTGAATAATTTAATAATTTGTGTTTATTTAGAATTTCCGGGTATTTTTTTGTCACAATGTATATCGATTAATATGACAATTATCTTTTGAACAATGCATTACTTGTGCGATTAGGATTTGATTAGAGAAAACCCTGGTTTCGTGAGCTCATCACTTGACGACAAAATAGTGAAAAGAAATTTATTCGCGGTCGATTGGAACTAGTTTATTACCTTAGCTGATAATTTGAACTTCGATAAAGATCCTGAGGAGGAAGCGGTAGGAGGTATTTATCATAGAAATATTTATGGATCTTGCAAAAAG